TGAAACACAACTGCTTTGGACAGGGAGAGGAGATTACTCCAAAACTTGTTTAAACTCTTCCCCAGGACTGACCAAAGTGATATTCAGAGAGCAGTACAGTCAAAGAAAGCGGCTCCCCAAGTTGTACCAGTCTTTTATCCAGTTCCTCTATGTGTGAAGTTACTCCCTTCACACTTTGTTACTCCACGGAGCTACAGAAGAGCTAAGAGAGAAGCTTAGATCACTTCGCCCATCACATTGAAGCTTCCAGTGACAATGACATAAACAATAACCCCAACCTGACACTTCTTTGGTGACAGCGAATTCTCCAGTCCTCCCACAGCCTCAAGTTAAGAAATGCAGCAGTTGTTTTATTAAAAATCAGTATACAGTGTTTATGACAGATCTCTCTTGCACTTCTATATTTCCCGTTTCAGAGACTACAGCAACCAAAGGATTTAGAGTCAGTAGCATAAAGAAACCAGGTTACTCTTTCATTTCAGAAAAATTAAGAGTGACCCTGTGTTTCCAAGAAAGCAGCGTCTGTGGTCAGTCTTTCTGCTGGACTTGATCTAAGAAACAACACTTTTCAACATCATTTTGCAGGAAAATCTTACCTTATATGGATAGTGGCTGTGTTTGCTTTATCATACAAGGCAGGGGTCTCTAACAAGCCTCACAGCACTGATACAATAACCTTAAAAGGCCTCTCTGGCATTTTCTTCTGCAATTTACCTTCTAGAGTATCAGAGACGCTTAGGAGATCTGTTTGAGTTGTAACCAGGGTGCGGAGGGTCTGATTCACAAAATTTGGCAGAAAGATGATCCATGAATTAAGTTCTGTCATGGCCACAGGAAGCAGATATAGGGTTCTCCTTGTGCTCTCCAGGCATCCAGCTGTGCTGCAAGGGGCCTTCGGATTCCTGCCCTTGCCCCCCTGTCACTTGCTGCAGATATTTGGATTTCTGCTGGCTGCTTCCTTCCCTCCTCAGGTCATCCAGAGCCCAGTGGTGTAACAGCAGCTTGGCACAAGCAGGAGAAGTCCAGCCAGCAAAAGGTTTCATTTATTAAGATAAACATGGTCTAAGGCTCCACATTTATTTTTTAAAAATAAACACAATACGAAATATGAAAACAAAGTGGCTTTGCTACTTGTAGGTCGGGTTCAGACATCTCGGAAAGATCTTTTCAACCATACAGAGGAATCTTCCCCTCTCACCCCTGCTGAGGGGAGGGAAAGACATTTTGCTACTAGGATCAGCAGTGTCCCTCTTGCGTGCCCCTTCATCCAGCTAATGCTACCTCTGCCACCCCTCTGGGGACATCAGAGTCTTAAGAGGAGCCCTGCGAAGGAGGAGTGGGAGGGAGGAAGGGCAGGTAATTCAGTCTCTGAAATGAACAGCTAAAAGGCTTGACACGACGACTACGCTCAACTCCACCACTTTAATGGTTGTTCTTTGCTGCTTCTTTAGCTGCAATGATCAGAGGAGTGAGGCTAGATAGAGGCTTTGCAATTTTCAGGAACTGGTGCTAGAAAAGAGAGAGAAAAAATGGTTAAATTGATCAGAACATGCCGTAGGAATCTAGTGACCACAAGATCCTGGCACCTAAAGCCCATGCAAAGACTAATGACCTATTCTAATCTCCAAGCACCCAGGAAGTTTGTCACCACCACAGACTTCTGGGGCTTGCCTGAACTGATACACTCCTTTGCACCCAACATGCTTTCCAAGATCAAGCAGAATTCAGCAAGGATCCCTGGGGGATTATCAACCCATGCAAAATCCATGGTGAAATTCTGTGCTGAAGGAAGGTGCACTGAAAACAGCCTGTGCAGCCTGAACAGAAGGAATGGGGCTTCCTGCAGAAACCAGCTCTCTTCTCTGTCATTGTGACTCTGGGGCTTCCTGCAGAAACCAGCTCTCTCCTCTGTCATTGTGGCTCTCGTAAAAGCCCTGCAATGGCCTTCTGCACTGCTAGAAATTTGCAAAATAGAACTACATTCTGAGAGAGCAGCACGGAGCCATTCAGCGAGACTCCTATTTTACTTTACAGAGCACCTCTGTTAAGTAAAATACACTAATACATTACAATGTACATGAATAAAATACATTAATATTGAACATCAAGCATACAACACTCTGCACGTCACAAATTGCTTCTGGCAGAACCTAGTGTCTGTTGTCTTAGAGCAAGTTTTAAAATATGGTATCTGCAAGGGAAGAAAAGTTTTCCTGTATCCACAGTAACTGGAAAGCTTGTAATACTCCAACCTTGTAGAGGACGTCAAGGTTGAGAACAGAGAGACTGGCACTCAAAACAGCTTTGAGATGAGAGTGAAGGTTATTCAGCTGCTCCACAGGATGTTGTGGAGACAAAGAACCCCTACGTCCCACAGCCCTTCTGAGTACTGGAAGGGGGAACCATCCCAAAGCAGCTGTATTTGAATATGATTCAGAGATGGAATGAAAAAGGAGTTAAAGGCAGGCAAAAATGTTACGCTTCTTGGCGCAGGAGACTGTTTTTGACTGTAGCTTTACGTCTCAAATTTTGGTGCTGGAAAATGCAGGACAAAGAGTGATCTTTCAACTGCTGCCATTCTGCCAGCCATTCATGCTCCATTAATGCTCACAAGGCAGCAACACAGCCAAAGCTGAATCCACTTGACAAACTATCAGAAAGAAAGGAGAGCAACACAGGGAATGCCTCACGGTTGAGGTATGAAGGCACCGGATCACCGGATATTTGTTTGGCAAAGGGTTGGAGCACGTTTTCCACCCCCACTGCAGGTGTGACAGAAGGAACATAAGAACATTTCTCATCTCTGCAGGTGAAGCCTGGCAGCTTGGTCCTCCACCTCCACCAGCAGTTCAGACAAGAAAGCCAGGTTTTCAGTGAAATAACAATGCATTTCCCCAAGTTCTGCACTGTCGCCCCCACTGTAAGGAGCAGCATGTGGCAAAATGTGGTTCTACCACCAAACTGCTGCAGCTTTTGCAAACATGCATGCCTTGATTGAGCCCAGCTTCCCAGCATTTACCTGTAGGAGCTCTTTTGCAGAACCTCTCTTTTCTACATCCATTTCAAGACAGCGGTTTAGGAAATCTCGGAATATGGGCGAAAGCTTTTCCGGATTCTGCAGTTCCGGAGTGCCGTTGGTAGCAATGAGATACAGGGCCTAGAGCAGGACAAACATCAAAGAATCAGCAGGTTATGGAAGTGAGACTCCATCTCCAAATTCCAGACACCCATTTTCCTCTTCCTCCCCCCAGTAGAAAAAATAAAACTTATCAGGGAGACTATTCAATGATTAGTTCTCAGCAAAAATAGAATAGCTGCCTGCCCTATTTTTATGTGGATGGGATCCAATCCTTTATTGTTTTACCCTTGTAATCTGGGTTTGGATCCTGCAGTCATCTCGAGGGATTAGGAGGACAAAAACAACATTCCAGACTGTGTTTACATAGGGAAGTGAACTGGCACGGCTCTGCCAGCGTTAGTCTCCTGCAAAAACTATATCCTCATGGGAAAGGTGCTCCTGAATAAATAAGAGATTTAGTTCTGTCAGTAGCTGCCCCGTGTGGGCAAGGCCTAGAAGCTTAGTCCTCTAAAATGCAATTGGCTTCTTGGAAGATGTTCAGTAGATCCTTGAGCAGCACTTATCATCCTGAAGCATCATCCCCCCCACACACCCAGGCAGAGTTCATCTACTTCAGAGATCTCCTGCAAGTGAGAAACTTCCTGGATGGATTTTAAAAGGAAAAGGAATTAATATGCAGCCCTTTTGAGCACACCACCCAGCCAGCTCCCATGGGAGCTGTCTCGCAGCCTGGGAACTGGAGCAAGTGGAGTTAAATGAGGCCAAAGCACTGAGTTACTTAAACATCCTCATTTAACACCAAATACCTGCCCCCTTCAATCTACTTTGCTGCTATTCTTCTTTCCCCAAGTCACTCCCAGTGCAAGACATGGAGACAAAAATTAAATAATATTTATCTAACTCCTGTGATCCTGTTTAGCTGAAGAAAAACCCATCAGCCTGGCTTGTGTTAGGAACCACTGCATCCCAACAGGATCTCTCCCTTGTTGTCTAGGCTTTAATTATCTGTGGGGTTAAACCCTCTTAAACCCCTTACTGCACTTGGAGCTTGCAAGGAAGAACTGGAGGTACTGCTGCCTTTTTCCTGACACCCACCAGTAGGAAGATGCCACACTTATAGACAGGTGACAGCTGCCCTATTTTTAGGGCCCAAGGATAACTCTTTTGCCCAGTCACTGGGCACAAGGCTTGGAGAAACCAGCTGCTGGGTGCTGCAAGGTGCTCTTGCTGCCTCTACGAGCCTCTCCGGGAAGTGGGAAAACCTGAGTGCACACGACTTAACTCATCAGAGCCTTCCAGAGAGTCTGCATCAGCAGGGGTTACACCTCAGAGGATAAAACAGCTACTTCCAGGGCAGGAAGACCCCACACTTCTGCTCTCTAGGACCATCTGGGGCTTTTAACCAAAAAATGAGCCGAATCGTCTTACTGCAACATCTAAGGAGACAGGGAGTGTGGGGAAACCTCCTGGGAGGATTCACCTCTGTTGTTTATAGCCTCGTTTGGTTGGAAGGGTCAGTGAGAACTTAAGGCACAGAAGGACTTACTCGCAGGGGGTTCTCATTAAGGTAGGGGGGCTCTCCTTCGATCATCTCAATGGCCATGATCCCCAGCGACCAGATGTCCACTTTGGGCCCGTAGGCTTTCCGGGTCACCACTTCAGGTGCCATCCAGTTTGGAGTTCCCACCATGGTGCT